CCTGTACAAACCAAGTATTTCATGACTGCCGTCCCAACAGGCCACTTCCTCATAAAACATCTAAGAAATTTTTTCTTTATAATATAGCTGGTATTAATAGTATATCAACACACCCAAATAAAAATTATGATGGAATAAATTTGTCAATTGTAAATTTGGATTCTGCGGGAAATGTAACCCTTAAAGTTAGCGCACCGAATGATCGAATTACAAAGATTGTTTTGTGGGCAGAGATTATGATTAATGAAACTGAACAGCATATCGGTTCTTTCCTACCAATTGTTGGACACGCGTTTTTTTCTGGTTGTGATGGTAAACCTAAATCAACGATTACTGATTATGATGATTTTAAAATATGTAAGTTTATTCTCTAATTCTCCTCCAATTCTATATTTCATCCTCGACAGCTATTTCATCGACGAGACTATAAATATTTAAATTGTTTATAATTTTTATGGTCTGTGAATTAAAATGACTGTCGGTGAATATCTGAAGAAAAATAAGGTTTCATATAGAATGAAAATTCCCGGTTGAATGCATTCTTAATATATTTGTGTCATTATTTTTGCTTTAGCATCAAATATCGTCTATGTTTGGAGTGCTCCACAAGGAACAACGATTTATATGAATGATCCTCGAGTTCAATCAAAAAGAGAACTACCAAAGCGATCTCAACGTTTTATTGAAAATAATAATTATCACCATCGCAAAGGGTACTCACTAACACATAATAAACACCGTACTTCGGAACAGCATGAAGAATATTGCCGTCATCATCATAATGAACGTAGCTGCCATAGTAAGCTTGATAAACACCGTATTTTAGAGAAATATTGCCGCCATCATCCCGACAAACATAACTGTCATAAGATGCTTGATAAACATCGTACTTTAGAGAAATATTGCCGTCATCATCCCGACAAACATAGCTGTCATAAGATGCTTGATAAACATCGTACTTTAGAGAAATATTGCCGTCATCATCATGACAAACATAAATGTCATAATGAGCTTGATAAACACCGTATTATAGAGAAATATTGCCGTCATCATCCCGACGAACATAAATGTCGTAAGCTTGAAAATCATCGTAAAAAAAATGGCAAGAATGGCAAAGATCATGATCACAAATTCTTAGGATCACCTGATAATAATGATAATAATGATAAATTACCAAAACATACGTCAAATTCTCCTGTAAATGATGGTGGTGTCTCAAAAAAAGAGTCGGATGGCAGTAGTTCGACACCAAAGGTGGTTGCGTTCTATTTTAAAGGTGCAGCGTTTCTCGAAAGTAATCCGGTCAATGTTACCGTTTTTTCTTCAGACATAATGTTTATTAGCGGGGATATTCCACCATACAATAATTCATCCAATGAAATTTCGAATTCTGGAATTGAGAATATAGAAGACAATAGTTCTATATCTAGTTCCGCTTCTTCATTTATTAGTTTTAAAAGTTTTGGTCTTAACTTAGCATTACTTTTATTGCTCGTAGGATTCCTTCAGTAACTGTTTTGTTTAAGTTTTCTTAATCCGTCCCAATAATAATAAAGTACATTACAGAAACCTAGATCTCTTAATGTGCAGTAATTGCATAATAACTACATAGTAACTACATAATTACTATTGCATTTAGTAGTAACTATATAGTTACTATGCAGTTACTACACATTAAGATACCTAAATTTCTGTATAGTATAAGCATTGTATATATATATATATATATATTATAATCTAAGAAGTAATAATACGATTTTTATACATTCCAATTTTTTTTTAGAGTGAGATTTATCCAATAATTTTATCCTTGCCGGCCAAACTATAATTATTAGACGTTTTGCGCTGACGAAACGCGTAACCTAGTTTTGTCTTTTATCAATTTTAAAACTTCAAATGATGACGGAAAGTAGCGAAACTGATGAAAGCTGGCGAAATTAGTACATTTAAACAATATATTTTTAATGTAATTTTTACCTTAAGTAATTTTTGTAACTTAAATTATTAATAACTAATACGTATAATATAAAGATAATTATATAAATATTATAATTTCTAATTTTAAAGAATCACTTAGCAAAGCAATATTTTACAATTTTTTAACATCTTTAAAAAGGGATTACGTATAGATCAATCCATTGTGATTTTTATTTTGCTTTTTAGGCTGCATATTTTTTATTTTTTATTTTCATACAAAGCTATTTATATACTTCCAGTTTTGTAATTAAAAGCAGACTATGTAGGGCTTTGCAGTAGAAAGGGTCAAATGCTATATATAATATATATAGGATTTAGGCCTTTTCTACTGCAAAGACCCTATGTTATTTTTAACCCTACTTAA